GTGAGGAGACTCTCTGCTTCCTAATCACCACTTAAGCCGCCTCCCCCTGCCACACTCTTCTGCCATGTTGTTCCTGTCTCAATTGGAGCCCTGAGAAATGGAGTCGGCTATCTGTGGATTGAGACTTCTGACACCACAAGCCCCGAAATAAACTCTTCCTCCTTTACAGTTGTGTTGATCAGGTCCTTTAGTCACAGCAGTGAAAAAGCTGACTAAAACAGTTCCATAAGTCTTTTCAAGGGTGCCTTGTGGAATCTCTTTAAGCAACTGGATTTATTTTATTTTCTAAGAAACAGAAGTTTGAGCTGGTGTGGTGGTGCACATCAGTAATCCCAGCTGTTTAGGAGGCTGAGGCAGGAGGATGCAAGTTCAAAGCCAGCCTTAGCAAGTTAGCAAGGCCCTGAGCAAGTTAGTGAGACCCTGGTCTCAAGATAAAAAATTAAAATGGGCTGGGGATGTGGCTTAGTGGTTAAATGTCCCTGGGTTCAATTTCTGGTACCCTCCCTCAAAAAGAATGCTCATGCAGAAGAGGGTAAAACACTGCTTCAAAAGTTTAAAACAGTTGAAGAAAATAGAATGAATCAGAGATGAAGATGAGGAGTTCAAAGGAGATTTTGGCAGCAAATCCTTTATCAGTAACAATCACAACTGGAGAGAGAAAGAAATGGAAAAGCAGTTTTAAGAGATTTTGTGATGAAACAAATCTTATCTGTCCCTTTTATAGAGATTTCAGTACGAATTTATCTCTTGAGCTATTTTTCTTCTTTTGGGCTATTGTTACTTTGAATACAAAGCTGCCTGGAAATTGGGCTTTTTATTGGTTAAATAAATGACTGTACAACCTTAGGTTCTTATAAATCAGGGTGCTCTTGAAAATAATAAAAAGAAAATAAGTTATGTTCTTTCATTGATTCAAAGATACATTTTTTTATTTTAACCTTTCTGAAATTAGGATGAGTGTGACTTTATGTTTGACAAGGAATCACAGTTTAATTAGCAAGAACCTTTTTCTTTGCTATTGGTACATTTCTTATTGATATACTGAATTTCTTGACAGCATAAGTTGGAAAATATTTATGAAGTTTGCTTTTTAAAGGTCATGTGGCCAATATTTTCACTGCAACATTAAAATTTTCACTTGTGCACAATAAATTTCTATCCACTAGAGCCTCACAGGATCCCAGTGAATTCAACCCACATTTATCAGTCATTTTACACCCAGTTTTTTGGAGAAAGAGCGAAATCTGGGAAAACAAACATTCAAAATTTAGTAAAATGAGTAGACAAATGACTTCCTGGATTCACATAGAAAATAAATGAAATCAGTTCCTGAAAAATGAACAGTTATTCAGTAGCCCAAGGAAGAATGATAATGGAGAAAGTTTTCCTTAGATCAGATTTGGGGATGGAAAGGCATAAATGAGACCAAGGCCACAAATCAAGAAAGGGGAACCAGATTTCAAAATAAATTGCTATTAGGCTAAAAATGGACAAATGACACAAACAGATATTTCTCCAAGAAGATAGACATCTGATCAAGATATACAACGCTATTAGGAAAGTGCAAATCAAAATCAAATTGAGATACAACTTTACACTCAATAGGCTATCAATAATCAAAAAAGACAAAAGCAAAAAGCTTGAGCATGGATGGGGAGAAATTGGAAGCTTCATACATTGCTGTGAATTTAAAGTGGCACACTACTGTGGAAGACCAATTTGTAGTTCCTCAAATAAGTAAATATAAATGTTCCCATATAACCCAGCAATTCTACTTCTAGGTATACACTCGACAGAACTAAAAACATATTTCCACCCAAAGACTTGTATACAAACATTTACAGCAGCCCTATTCAAAAGGCGGGAGCAACCCAAATGCCCATCAAGTGTGAATGAATAAAAATCCCATGTAAGAATATTATTCAAGTGTTAAAAAGAATCAAGTGCTGATACATGCTATGACGTGAAGGAACCTTGATAACCTTATCCTAAGTGAAAGAAGCCAGAAACAAATGGCCACCTCTCATAAAAATCCAATTGTAGGAAATATCCAGAATAGACAAATCCACAAAGACAGAAAGCAAATTAATGGTTTATAAGGGATGGGGAGAGAGGAGATGTAAGAGGCAAGGCAATAGGAAGTGATTACTCATGGGTTATGGGGTTTTCCTTTGGGGTTCTAAAAATGTTCTGAAATTACAGAATGACCATTGGTGAGCAATTCTGTGACTACACTAAATACCACCAAAAGGAATTTCATGTTATGTGAGTAATAGTTTAGGAAAGGATTTAGTAGAAGAATAAATATCCAGAGTGCTCAAGGAAATGATGATACATGAATGGCAGGGACAACAATGTCTCCTGAGTTTTCTCCTGTGGGACAAAGAGGCTGGTTGGTCCCTCTGGGATCTAAGGTGTACCTTGCTTTCTCCACCAGTGTCTCACAACCTACAATTTTGTGATTGACCTCCGGTCATCAGTCACAGCTGTTTTGAATTTTGGTGTCAGTGCTATAAGTCAATGACCAAGTGTGGATTCTGTGTGGTTGGCCGTACTTGTCCTGCTGACGTAGGGGGTGCCTAAAAAATACTGAACTTTGAGCTAATGACATATATTATTTATTTACCAAGTGTTCATTTTCTCTTTCTTAAACACTAATAGCTAGATGGGTAGATGAATTTATTAATAAAAATTGTGATATTTATCAAGTGATTACATTATAGTGAGTGTGGGGATTCAGCTGTGAATGAGACATGACATCTAACATCAAAGTGGAGGATGTATTTAAGAGGACATTATAATGGAGTTGGCAAGTACTTTGTGTAGAAGAAAGTTCAGGATATGTGGTGAATCAGTGGCCTAATGACCACCATGAGTAACTACTCTCCATATTTTCCTCCTATAACATTGTTGTCTCCTTTCGTTCTTTATCTGGGATTTCCTGTTGGCTTACTTTCACACACACACACACACACAAAAATGTGGTGGAAGTAATGGTGTGTGATTCTGAAGTCTTAACGGTGTTTGTGTGATCTCTGGATCTTATCTCTGAGGATCCAAAATCACATGAAGCAGAGCCACGGAAGCCCAGTTGTTCCAGTAAAGACCCTTGACATGTGAAAGACTCCAGCCAGGATAGGTCACCTGTCAACTTCCAGATTACAATAGATACATAGTCAAGGCCAGCGGTGGTCAGCCAAACTCAGCTCAGGTCATCAGAGCCACCTGCCCTCACAGACCCACCTCAAATAGCACGTGGTGTTTTTTTTTTGTTTTTTTAACATTACAGTTTCTTGATGTTCGTGATGCAGCTATAGATGCAGCTATAGATAACTGATCAGAAGGCAATGGGAGCTCAGAAAAGGGGCCTCAAAGAAGGGGCAAAGGAGGCTTCCCGGAAGAAGTGACATTTACACCATAAATGGAAAGAATAATAGGAGTCAGCCAGGGATAAGAGGGAACCAAGAGAAGCTTTGTTTGTGGTGGGTGAGGTGATCAATAAGGCTGTGTGTGATGTGTGAGGCATGCTAAGACATTAAGCTAGACAGGCTATGTAGGAACCAACTGATGTATGATCTCAAACATTTATTTAAGGGTTGAACTTTATCCTTAGGACAGATGACTTTTAATACCATTAAATTTTGCTTTTGTGTTACCAGTCTAGCTGTTGTATGGGGAGAGGGTTACACGGTTTACAAATGCTTAGGATAATGTTGGAAGGTGGGAGGGGATGGTAGCCTGACTGAAATAGTACTAGCACAGGGGATAGAAAACCAGTGAATCAGAGGGTTATCACAAGGTCAGAATTGATTTGACCTGATGGTCCATTGGAAAAGAGGCGAGGGATAACTGGATTAAAATGGTTCCTACTGATGTAGAAAATAAAGAAAGTAGAGCACATTTAAGGGGGACATAAATTCAGTTTGGCAACTATTGCATGTGGCACATTGTATTTGCCAAAGCTGGCCATGACTTTATATTTGTTCCAACTGTCTGGCTTCTCTTTAGTGACCAACACTAGCCCAAGGTGTCATGAGGTCTGTGTTTGTCCCCTCACCTTGAATCTGAGAAGAGGCGGTATCAACTCAATGAAGAAAGTCTGTCATTCATGATGCATGAAACTTGAAGGCTTGGTTATAAAAATGCTGAGAGTTCCTTTCTGGGGGTAGCAGGAGGCTCACCCTTAGAACCCAGCTCCTATATTATGAAATCCCAGGCCACGCAGAGAGGGCATGTATGAGTGGTCCGGCCAAGAGCCCCAGCTAGTCTCTAGGGGAAGCACCATCAGCCACTAGTTGTGTGAGTGGATTCTAACCCCAAGCCTTCTAATCTTCCAGCTGAGGGTCTAAGATTCTTAGGTCTAAGGTCTTAGATTCTGTGGAGCGGAATCTAAGCTATTCTGTTCTGGCTATCTCTGTTCTGCTCTGTCTGAATTCCTCACTCCAGTAAGTCAAGAGTTATAAAAGATCATTCTTATTGTTTGGAGCCATGCATTTTGGAGTCATTTGTATTACAGCAATACATAACAGACACACTACACTTGGGGAAGCCTCTGGGACCTTGACCTTGACCTTGACCTTGAACTCACATGTGCATTTCTTTTCCTATCAAAGTTGGAGACTGTTTCATAAGAAAACTTACATCAAGTGCTCTCTGACAGTTCTTTTACTTGCCACTATTTGTCAAAAAAAAAAAAAATCAAACTTTGTTTTGCCTTCCTTAGGGAGAAAGGGAGAGAGAAAGATAAGAAGGAAGGAGGGGAGGATCTCCATCATGAAAATGGTGGCCAGGGCAATACCATTCCTGGGTGGAGCATGGTGGATGGCACTAGTGACAGCTATGCCCCTGCACAGGTACTGTAGGATCCTGATTGCCTGTACAGGCCCTTCTGTGTTCCATCAGGGTGGGCGTTATAGCCCAAAAGATTGGCAAGATGCCTGCTCCCACTATTCTCCCTGTGTAAAGAAGGCTGGCTCTGACCCCAAGAAATAACAGCTGAGTTGTGTTAAGAAATTTTTATTGTTTCCTTTGGATTTGTGATGAAAGCACATAAAATTACAAGTGGAAGAAACATCATGCCACAAAATTGCATAGAATTATTACAAAAATGTGAATTATGCATTTTAAATAATTGAAGATAGAAGAACCAAAATATGTACATTTTAAGAGCTTCAAATACTTTGTCCTATCTCTTTTTTTTCTTCTTAAAAGGCAAAAGTCACAAAGTCCAATCTGTCACGAACAATATTAATACAATGCACAAGCGAGACATTAAATTCAAAGGAATGCAAGCAGTGGCCCTTTCTTTGAGAATTATTTAATGATTGCTTATCTATTAGAGGAGCATCAATTCATGTATGGTGGTATTGAAATGTTGAAATGTTAAAAACCAAAACACATGGCATGTCATTAGAACTTTGAAAATTGGTTTACACGGCCGAAACCACACCATTCTCAGTAGTGTAAAGGTGTCAGGGACACAATCTAATTTAATACACGACTCTACTTTCTATTATAGGAAAAACCACAGTACAGAGTTTCACACATTCAACAAAGAACAAGGCAAATACATAAAGGCACAAAAACTGCACATCATATAGACCCTTTTCTTTATCTTTTTTTTTGTCTATTTTCAAGTAATATTAATATTATTAAATGATAATATCACTGTAGTAGTTTCAATGATGCAAGACACACAGTGTTACACACTACCCCACAACTGCAAAAAGTGTCATTGTACAGATATAAAAATGTGATTACAGTTAATGGCCAAATACAAACGTATTGTAAAATGACTAGAATCACTAAGATAATGAAATCCAGCTACCAAAACAGTTTTGTGTAAGTCAAGGTTATTCAACCTTAGCCTATCTCTGGACTAAAATGTGATACAGCATCCTGCAATAATTACCATTGTGTTTGGTTATGAAAGCTATTATCGGTTCATTCTTCTGCAAGTTTAGACAGTCTGTAATTTTGTTTATAAAAAAGCAGCATTCAATTTTGACCATCCTTGCCTCTTTATGCCTTCCTTTCAAAGTGCAAAGGTAGAATGATTTACGAAAGATTTTGCTTTCAGTGAAAGTTAAGTTTTATTAAGTATCTAATTAACACTCTAAATCCTTCAGATCAAAATACAATCATCTCCAAAGGGGATGTGATGTTCCCTCTCGTGTCTCACTAGATGTGTTTTCTTAATCAAAAGGTCTTTCCTCATATCTGAAGTAAGCTTTCGTTTTGATTAAAACTTAATTATGATCCCTAGTTATTGCTTAAAGTTAAATAAAATAATTTCCATAAAATATTAAAATTTTGAAACACAACTTTCAGGACACAACTGGGTTTTGCATTGTAAAATGCTTTTCTAAGCCACAATCACAGAGGTTTATTTTAAAATAAAGAAAGCTGTGAATGTTTTGCTTCTGGGCTTTATCTGCAATGTTCTTTGTATCACTCTCTAAATTATATTTTGAAATATAATTATTCTTTCTTTCAATAATGGTTTTGATCAGTTTTACCATGATATAATTTGTTTCTCTAATGCCACTTAAAATAGGAACTTAAAAGACATAGTTAAGTGAATTAAATGTACATACTAAATACATAATGAAAAGTTTTTATGTTAGAATAAGATTGAAATCAATTAAACATTATGGAAGATACAAATAAATTTCCAAATAAGTGTCCAATACACTTTTGTATATTCTGACCATTAAAATAAGCTGAAAATCTGATACTTAAATCCAATTTTTGATCCTGCAAAATATTTACCAAATTCTTAAGTTCTAAATCTTCCTCAACTTACACCAACAACTCCATCAATTGTTTCTTAGCATGCCCATATAATTTAATATCCATGCAATCTAAATGTTTGACCCTTTTCTTCTCTAACCATTTATCCCTGAAATTGGTTTTAAGTCTTGTGGAAGAGATTTGGGTCATTGCCAATTAATAAAGACACATCTATACTCAACACACACATGTGTGGCTGAGTGCATACACAAAAACATGGAATATATATATGTATATAAATATATAAATATATACATATATATAATTATACATGGGTCTGTGTATTCTTTTGATAAATAGTTAATCTTCCCCTCTCTATTAAAAGTAAATGAACCATAAAAAATGTCAGACAGCAAAATATCCACTGGAACCTGTTTATTCTAGTTGAATTTCTGCTTAACACATATCAGCTCAACTCTTTTTGTTTAACAGAACAGACCTGTTGTAGCTATTTGATCATTCATTTCAGGCCAACAGCCAATGAATATCCAGACTTCGAGAGCAAATAGTCATTTCAGATAACACACTGCCTGAAAATGTGCAGCCAACTTGCTCATGCAGCCAAATGTACAATCCATATTGCTAAGTCTTGGGATGGCTTCACTGGGTAAGGATACAATCAAGTGATTTTGTTTTGCAAAAGAGAAAAACCAGCTTATTTGAATCACTATGGTATCTAATAAAGCCATGTCAGCAACAGATACTGATGCCTCTATGATAAATAAATTAGCAAACTGCAAGCCACCCGTGCTTGCAAAGCAAAGGATGAAACCATTTAATATGCATATGAACTTGAAGACATTGAGTTGAGAGGCAGCTAGGAAAAAAAAATGCTCAAAGTCAGATGATCAATAGTGTTAAATAGTGCTATGCATTTCTCAATCTATTTCTATTACTTTGAAATACTTTACACCGGAGTTTCAAATAAAAACAGGAGCTCGAAGTTTCTTCAAAGAAGATACTGTCATTTAATGTTCCATAGAGCCTGGGAGTTGCCTGCTTTGAATTTACTATTAGAAAGAAAACAAAAATCCCACATACATGCATTCTTCACTGCAGTATTTTCTGCATGACACCTGGAGCCTGGCCATGAAACCTCTGTATGGATCCTTCTGGAACTCTCCATTTGGTGTTGAATTTAGGCTAAGGGATGCTTCTCAGGAAGATGGTCCTGGGCAGTGATCTTTAGAAGAGAGAGTTCAATGGAGCTTGAGTGGCCTAGCAGGAGCAATCACAGAGGAGTATCAAACTCTTTTCCTGGGTTCTCTCCTTCCACCTCCTCACTGGAGGGAGGCTTGTGGTTCACTTTTCCAGGGTCAGAGGCCAAGGAGGGAGGGGCAGAACTGTGATTGCTGTCTTCACTGATCTTCCCTTTCATGGCTTCCTGCACAAATTCCAAAATCTCCAGGGGCAATCTTTTGAACTTGTCTTGGTATTCTTGCTCCAACTCCATCTGTAGCTAGGAGACATCAAGAGAGGAGAACGATTTAAGATCATTTAGATTTCTATGCCCACCCACGTAGAAACTCTTTGAAAGAGATATATGAAGGATAGGGAGAAGAATAAATTAATTTAAAATGTCATTCACTGGTCACTTATAGAGATGATTAAAAACAGAGTTTTTCTGGACATACCATTTGTCTGTAGCTGAAAGTCAAGTTTGATGGGGCTAAAAAATTTGGACTAGGATAAATAAGTACATCTATAAACACACACACATATACATGTTTGAAAACTCTTTATAGAAGTCAAGAACAATGATCTAAAGTTTTTACACTTAGAGGTTGAAAGCCATTGATAGCTGTGACAATCAAAGTCAACCATGAATTGGGAGCTCAGAAGCAACTGGGGTAGACAGAGGGACAGAGGGGCTTTCATACGCTGCTGCTTCAGCCAGAGGCTGAGAAGGCATTGCTAGATGCTTTTGTTTTGTTTTGTTTTATTAATTTACTTTTTGAGTGCTAGAGGTTAAACCTAGGGCTTCACACAGGCTAAGCATATACTCTGTCACTTGCCCCATGGGTCCTTTTAAAAGGAAAAGTCTGAGGATCTGTAGCTTAGCATGCATGGAAACCTGGGTTTGATTCCCCAGCATCTCTCTCTCTCTCTCTCTCTCTCTCTCTCTCTCTCTCTCTCACACACACACACACACACACACACACACACACACACATTTAAAAAAATGAAAGAAAAAGAAATGGTGCATTTTACAAAGTGAGCCCACTCCTGTAACCAACATTTACTTTTATTTGGATATTTTTTTCCATTTATTATTGTGATTCCCTTCTCATTATAGTTTTTGCTTTTGAACTTATCTATTTTATGCCCTGGAGAATTCTCAGACTTTTGAATGTCAGGGAAATCTTTCTGCACATACAGACTTGCATGCCAGTCCTACTCGTAAAATAGTTGTAAAGCTGGTGCTCCTGGGTAGAAGTGGGGCAAGGATGGCTACTGGGAAGTTCTGCTGTCTGAACCCAAATGAAAACCCCAAATTTGAAACACAATTTTCTCTGTGGGCTGAATGATATGCAGGGAGCTTAATCTCAGAACATGTGAAACCACATGGTTTTTCTCCCCTCTCATTAGTCTTGAGACAACTTTTCTTAAGAGGTGTCCTTAGTATCTTTAAGTAATTTCTCTCCGTGCCTCTCAACAACAACATGCAACATGATCTCCATGCCACATGACCTGAGTGCACCTTAAAGGTGTACCTGTGGGATCTTGATCTTGATTCTGATTCAGGAGGCCATGAATTTCTTGGCAGCTCTGGGTGATGCTGATGCAGGTGATCTATTTAGGCTACTCTGATTATCATCCTGTCTGAGTTCTACTTGAGGAACCCATTATACTTTTTGTCTTGATCCTGGCTGTATATCTTCCACTGGAAGCTTTCAGTTTAGTCTCTGGGACTTGCTCTGACCTCTTGAATGTCCAGAGTGAAGCCAGTCTTTAGGACATCTGCCCCTCTAGGTCTGGACTTCCCTTTGGACAGTGTCAGCTGCTGAACAATGTCCTCTAATTCAACTCCTTTCACTCTTGCTTCCATGCCAGAGAAATTTTGCTAAGTCTTGTTTTTTAGTCTTTATTGAATAATCTCTATAATTCTAAAATGCTCAAATTTCTGAAATCCAGAAATTTCTGGTAAATTTGTGGCAAACTCATTGGCATTATTTACTTTCCTTCATGCACTATTCATGCTCATCCATCTGTCCCCCTCGTTCTTCCCTCCCTTCTTTCCTCCCTTCTTTCTGTTATGAGGACTTCAACCCAGGTTGATTTACCACTGAGCTACATACCAAGTCATTTTCATTTTGGGACAGGGTCTCCATAAGTTGCTGAAGCTGGCCTTAAACTTGCAATTTTCCTGCCCTGGCCTCCCAAATTGCTGGGACTATAGGCATGAGCCACCTTGATAGTATCAATGCACTTAATTGCAAACAAATTAATTAGTTTGGAGGCTTCTCTGGAGCTTAGTGCTCATGGTGCCAGCATCATGTTATCTCTCTAAAAATCAGAAAAGCTCTGTATTCTGAAAGACAACAGGCCCCAAGAATCACAAATAATGGATACTGGATTGTCCTGTCACACGACTAAACGGATCAGGGTCACTCCAAGTGATTTTGGAAACTAAATAAAGACACAGACACAGAAAGTACCTTTCCTTTGGGTTCAGTGACCGCTCCTCAGCCACAGATCCCACAAGGAGGGCAAGGCAGGCAAGAAAGAGTGCAAGGAGCATGTGCTGAACCCTTTTATTGGGAAGAAGCCATTCAAATGAGGCAAGGGGTCTGGTTTTAGAGGGTTGAGTCTAACCTCATGTGTCTTGTTGTCAGCAGGTTGACTGACATCTAGGAAGGCCATGCCCATCTCATGTGCTGTGTGGGGATCATAGGCAGAGCCAAGGAAAAGACTACCTTGCCGACCAAACAGAGGGGTAACACCTGATCAGTCCACCCTTTGTGCTCAATGCTCCTAGTTCAAACACACACAGCCCATGGCTGGCTTGCCACATCTCCACACTCTCATTGCTCAAAACCAAGGGGCGCTTGATTGCCATGTGGCAGCTCTAGACACTGGATCATGTTCAAATTATTTTTTCACCACATTGAAAGTCTGATAAAGTTATAATTTAGTCACAATTGAGTCAATGATTTAAATTGTTAAAGATTATTATTATAATTAAATTACCAAAATTAAGTCTTTACTAGAATTTAATGACTAAAAATATTTAAAAGTGATACTTTGGTATTTTCCCCCCATGTTTTAGTGTTTTTTTTTTTTTAACATTTTAAAAAGAAACAGCACTTATCAAGCACCATGGGGTCATGTTCTCCAATGACTGTTAAGCTAGAAAAGTTGGCTGAGGTTGTAGCTCAGTGGTGGAGCGCTTGCCTTGCACGTGTGAGGCCCCAGGTTTGATCCTCAGCACCACATATAAATAAATAAATAAAATAAAGGTATTGTGTCCATCTACAACTAAAAATTATTTTTTAAAAAGTGTCTGATAAGAATGTCTTAGCCTAAGTATTGAAAGCAAATTATTCTCTTCAAATATAAAATGCAGAGTATTCATGAATATAGTGTGCTAATCTATGGCCCAAGGATGCACCAGGATGCCCACAGCTCTGATGGAACAAAAGTACTTTGAACACAGTCCCACCCTCTGTGTCCTGCAAGCAAATCACTGGAGGCTCAAAGACAAGAACATAATTACCAGTTCTCTCCCCTGTCCCAACAATTTGGAAGGAAGAAGGACTTTGACAATGTCTCCCTCTTTAGCATGAGTGAAGTCTCAGTCTGGTTTGACAGCTTCCGTTTACTACCATTCCAGTCTTATCAATTTGCTTCAATTTCAGTTCAGCCTTACATGCGGTTAGTTTCATTTCCAAGGCAGGTAGGGAAATGGAGAGCGGTAAAGGACTCTGTTTTCAGAACACAGTAGATAACTATTTCCATTGAGTTTGGACCAGGGAGCTTTTAAACACTGACATATTTAGTTGACAGAGCAGGCAATTTTTCTAGGTTAAAGATCATTGGTGAACATGACCCCATGGTGCTTGATAAGTGCTTTTTCTTTTTAAAACATTTAAAAAAAAAAAGAACACGAAAACATGGGGAAAAAAATACCAAATTATCACTTTAAAATATTTTTAGTAATTAAATTCTACTAAAGATTTAATTTTGGTAATTTAATTATAATAATGATCTTTAACAATTTAAATCATTGACTCAATTGTGGCTAAATTATAACTTTATCAGACTTTTCCTTTTATCATGAGGCAGCAATAGATTTCATTGTATTCTAAACTAGGTCACTGCTTCATAGTTTATTTGAAATGCCATATATTTCACTCTTTTTAAAAAGACATTCAGTTATTAAGTTAATTTCAAAACTGTATTTACTATTGGATGCTAAGTTAGAAGTCTTGATTTTTTTTGCTTCTTGTAAATGAAATAATTGTTCATTTTGAGAAAATATGAAAATTATGCAGAGCAATATCTGTCTCCATTCTAAAAAAGTCCTATCTATCAATAGTCTAGAGCTTTTCCAGCCCAAGTGTTGTAACTTGTGTTTGCTAGGATCAGGAAAGTCATGAAAGTGAGAGAAACAGAAGGCATAAGAGAAAAGGAGTGGTAGAGTCAGGGGACACAGCCTATCTGACACAGGTATCAAAATACCCAGTTCTAGCTGATGCTTGTCAGAGTCTTGTTTTACAAGAAAAGTCAGAAATTCAAATCTTCATGTAAAATCATCATGTGTCTATTGTTAAAAATCAACTAAAATTACACTTTGAACCCAAAGATGTTTTCTTGATATTTATTTATTTATTTATTGTGCAGTACTTAGGATCAAACCCAGGTGTTGACCATACCAAGCGAGTAAGTGCATCACCACTGAGTGACACCCCCAGACTCCTCAAAGACATTTGCAAACATTGAACAATAATCTCATATTATTTATAAGAAGAAAAATATACATAGCTCTTGATCTAGAAACTCCACTTTTGGGAATCTAGTTTATGGAAAATAAAGGTACCAAGACATAAGGTTGGAGATACTAAGATACTTAATTCAGAATTTCTCTAGGAAAAACAAAACAAAACAAAACAAAACAAAACAAAACAAAACAAAACAAAATCGAACCAAAACAACACTTGAAAATAATTTTCACTTACTATCTATCGTTATATTTTTTGTTACACCTTTTGAAATGTTTTAGACCTCATGACATTTCACCCACAAATACTGTAGCACTCATGTTAAAATAAAGACATTTTCTGACATGAAAACATCATAATCATTTAACGAAAATTCATAATAGTTACTTAATATTATCTAAGACTCACTCTTGTTCAAAATTTCCCTTCCAAATTATCCCTTCCAAATCTCTTCTAGCTCATCTTTTTAGATCAAAACCCAAAATTAGTGTATTACATTTAGTTATTGTGTCAGTCT